CCCTAACCAGTAACCCTAACCCTAACCAGTAACCCTAACCCTAACCCTAACCCTAACCCTAACCAGTAACCCTAACCCTAATCAGTAACCCTAACCCTAACCCTAACACACTTCGTGATACCTAAGGTTATACTTTATGACTTAGGGTTAGGGTTAGGGTTTTTGCATCATTCCTTGATATACGGAAAGTCTGCGCATCAGTTGATGATACACAGAAATCTGTGCATCACTTCGTGTAGCTCTAGTAACAATAGCCCGCGTGCAGTTGCTGCTGGGCTATAGAACCAGCCATTAGGGATGCGCGGGACCAACTTAGTCGCGCTAATTCGCGACTATAAAACGTCTGTGGTAGGCAATTAATGCCTCTTATCCGAAGTGAATATGCCTTAAGTTATATCCGCTACTAGAATTTAACCTCTAACTATCGTTGAAATGGTCTACTTGTGGTATTACTGGTGAACGAGCATTCGATTTGCGAACTTCAAGCGGCCATTTTTGGCGGGGCTGCAGCGCCAGTGAGCGAGAACTATGTATTTCTGCACATGGAGGGGTGGCGGGTTGGGTTGGTTATGGACAAAAACATTGTTGTTGTCAAGTAACAAATTAAGCGATCAAAAAAGATTGTAATATTAGTTTTGTCATGAAAGATGAACAAATTACTATTATTAATTTGTTACTTGACAACAACATTGTTTTTGTCCACAACCAACATAACCTGCCCACCCCTCCACATGCGGAAATACATAGTTCCCACTGACTGGCTGGAGTAAGAACCCCGAGCATACATAATGGCTGGTCCTATAGCCCAGCGGCAACTGTACGCGGGCTATAGTTACTAGAGCTACACTTCGTGATACCTAAGGTGCCTAAAGTGGATTTGCGCCTTATGTCCCCCAGGGTACTGCCGGAACGTACCCTGTGTACGGTCTGGTATACCAGAACGTACCCTGGTAACTAACTAATATGCCGGACCGTATCTCGCCTACTCCAAACCGTACGCTGACTTTCAGCCGATGTTGTAATACATACCACTTGTCGGCAGGAAACGCGCCGCTTTATGCTCTCGTTCCTTGTTTTCGGTCCGTTCCTGCAAAATATTCGTAACCCTTACCCTGTTACGTTTCACCTCCCGACCCTTTCTACAAGTGTCAGCGAGTCTATACGTTTCCAACTTATTAAGATAATCATACAAATTTTCCTGTTCCACCACAACACTTGGAGCCATCTTTCAAAAATCTCGCACGAAATTGCGCGAAAATGTCATAAACATTGCGAAAGGAAAACGCATTTCCGATCATCGCGATATTTGCAAAAGGATTGCGCGCATCAGTGTATATAGGTTGAATTTTTTTCTTGGTTTCACAGTTTCATACTCCAATCCAACTTTATCTATATCATACAGGTCTGTATGTATATTTCAAATTTTGCGACATCAGTAGTGGGCGGAACAGGGACAGTCAGGGTACGGTAGGGAGTAAGCGAGGTACAGTCCGGCATATCAGATAGTTACCAGGGTACGTTCCGGCAGTAGTACCCTAGGGGACATAGACCCCATCAGCTATAATATACGCTGTGGCTACGGGTAGGCAGCCGTATCTTAATGTCTCGAGGCTGGAGGTACGGTAGTCCATTCACTTTCATACTTAATGAGACAAAGATGGCAGCGGGTGGTGCCAGATTTCGAAATAACGCCTTGGGAAATAAATTTACGATTTGAGAGTTTAGATGAGCTAGAACCCTAACCTTAACCCTAACCCTAATCCTAACGCCAAAAAGGGGCTTCAACGAACGACGGCTGCCGTACCTCCAGCCACTGCGTATAATATAAGGTTAGAGAAAAGACTGAAAATGAAATGAAAAGACAACTCTCTGATAACCACGTAAAGTTACATATCGTATATTAAATGTAACCCAGCAGAACAACTGGGGCAACAACTGTCCCTGACCTTCTATGTTATGCTATTCTTATCCCGATATAGGCTTACACATGAGTTGTTTGGCAGCACAGTTGTAGTAGATCATGCGGGCTCGTAGTCCGAGTTTCCTCTGACCAATGCCCACACCGACGATTTTGGTGGATTGGTCAGAGGAAACTCGGACTAGCGGGCTCGGTATCATGTATTTAGAATACATGTTCAAGTGACCAGTCGTTGACAACCAGTTATTCATTCATTGGCACCTAATCGTTGACAGCCAACGAGCATTTATACAGGGGAATACTATCTGACCCGTGACCACAATCTAAATCACAGTGCAAACTGCACATTTTCAACTGCTGCACTTGTTGACTAAAACTAAAAGTAATACTATTTTAGCTCATAGGGTATATGTCCCCCAGGGTACTATCGGAGGTATAGTATATATATATTGATATATCGGAACGTACCCTGGTAACTATCTGATATGGTTAGGGTTAGGGAGTAGGCGTAGGCGACTCCCTAGACTCGTTAGTGGAGTAGGCGAGGTACGGTCCGGCATATTAGATAGTACCAGCAGAGCATATAAATCACGTTGATTTAACATACCCGGTATACCGGACCGTACCCAGGGTACGTTCCGGCAGTGCCATGGCCATGGCA